TGGAAATCATAAGAGAATTCCCATTAGTAAGCAGGGTTAGGAGCTACCCAGACTTCCCACGGTTCCTTTCCCCACATTACAAGATCTTTCTCATTTTCTCAGGACATCTTGCCACTGCATTGTAGCCCTAAAACCCCCTCGAGGGAGAATTGAAATGTTTTTTTTCTTAGCTCAGCTATAGAAGCCAGCTGTTGTAAGACTTCACTTTGGTTACCTATAGGCTGGCAGTCAAACCAGTAAGGGTTTTCAAAGGATGTGGCTGTTAGGTTGATTGTTGGGAATGTTGGCGGTTGTGCTTACATGTGTACACACAGATTTACACAGGGTAATGGTTGCCCACTGGGCTTTATCAGGAAACAAAGCAAATGAAGTTCAGTAGGAACTGAACTGCTTCTCACTGATCACTGATCTCAAGAGCTTTTTAAAAACACTGCTTGCTGGGCATGGTGGCTCATGCCTGTAATCCTAGCACTTTGGAAGGCTGAGGGGGAAAAAGCCCTTGAGCCCAGGAGTTCAAGACCAGCCTAGACAACACAGTGAGACCCTGTCTTTACCAAAAAAAAAAAAATTAGCTGGGCATGGTGGTGCTAGCCTGTGGTCCCAGCTGCTTGGGAGGCTGAGGTGGGAGGATCACATGAGTTAAGGAGGTTGAGGCTGCAATGAGCCATGATCCATGCCACTGTTCTCCAGCCTGGGCAGCAGAGTGAGATCCTCCCTCAAGCAAACACACAAACAAAGACACACAACTCAAGTGAGACTTTGCTTCCCAGAGGCCTGAACTCTCTTTCAGATGAATATTTTCTGTTACTTTAACCCAGGAGCGAATCCGTTTAGCTCGACTGATTGAGAAATCTGAGTATCGGAACTTCCAGGCTTGTCTGCACAATTCTTGGATTGAGCAGGCAGCGGCTGCCTTGGAGATTGAGCTGGAAGAAGACATGTATAAGGGTAAGCCCTTGGGCCGGATGGGAATTGAGGAAGGTGAAATTTCTCTTTAACTTGTGCTTCGTTGGAACCTTCGCTACTACTGTGGGTCTTGCCAAAATCAGCAAGACGTCCTTCCCCTTCTTTGCTAACAGGCCCCCGTTCCAGATGGGTTTCCTCTGTCTCTGTCTTGCATCCTTAGCTGCCGCCTCTTACGTGGACAGGCAGTGGATACAGTGAGGACGGGAGCAGGCTCTCTGGCCAATGTGCCTGTGTTAGAATGCCTGCTGATTCCTTTTACTGTGTGACTGAAGTTATTTAACCTCTGTTGTGTCTCAGCTTTCTTTTTTCGATAAAATGGAAGTAATCAGCCATCTACTTCATGGGATTGTTGGGAAGATTGATCGAGTTAAAAAATATTGGGTGCTTGCAGCATTGCCTGGCGAATAGAAAGTATTTTATACATTTTAAGCTATTTGTCATTATGGTTCCTACTACACCTGCCTTCCAAGCTGACAAAGCACTTTCATGCCATTATCTTATTTGATCATCTCCACTTTCATGACATGAACATAACAGGAAGTACTATTCTTTTACACATGGGAACTAGATACTTACAGCAGAGGCAATTTGTGCAGGGAAGTAGCTCTGTCACCAGACATTTCCTGAGCTGCTACTCTGTATGTGGCCAGAGGCTGAGGCTTCAGGGATGAATCTGCTCGGTCCCACCTTGAGAAAGCTCCTGAGTCTAAGAAGTTGTAGAACCAGGTCTAGAATTCCGTGCTTCTTCCACACCACCAAATGTACAGCTCACCTGAGATATTGATACCTCAGTGCTCAAGTCAGCAGATTCAGAGCCAAACTTACTGCTGTCTGCTCAGCATGGAAGTCAGGAGCCAAACCAGTGGGCTTATAGACAGTGAGCTAGTCCTGGTAGTTCAGCTTTGGGGCTTGGGCTGAAGATGTGGAGGCCCTGGCTTCCCTTCCTGAGGACAGGCTGAGATGGAGCCCTTTGGCTTTGCCCACCTCTGTATGTGCAGTCACAGCACTGGTGGCAAGGTAGAGGAGAGCTGGGCTACAAAGAAGCATTCATTGTCTCCTAAGGGGGTTGTAGTTGTGAAGTCTCCAAACCCCAGGTGGGCAGTAAGTGGGTAGGTAATAGGAAGAAAGGTGATCTTCTGTCAGAAGACTTGGGTTCTGGGCTCTGTCTGATGGCTGGCTCTGAGGTGTAAGCCAGGTGACTTCTCTAAGCCAATTTGCTTCATCTGTAAAGATAATTCCAGTCTTCGAGTGTTTTTACAAAGGAGAAAAGTATAGAACGGTCCTGCGTATCCCCCCCAAATGGTTACATGTTATCCATTTACAGCCCCTGCCAAGCCTCCACTGGCTTCTTTAGAGAACTTTGCAACTCCACCTCCCTAAAGTAGTTCTAAAACAGTTTTTATTCTGTTATCCATCAAGGGAAACAAAATGTTTTTACAAACCATAGTAAATAGGATCATTTTTGTATTGCGTTTCTAGGTGGAAAAGCTGACCAGCAAGAAGAGCGTCGGAGACAAAAGCAAATGAAGGTTCTGAAGAAGGAGCTGCGCCACCTGCTCTCCCAGCCGCTGTTTACAGAGAGCCAGAAAACCAAGTATCCCACTCAGTCTGGCAAGCCGCCCCTGCTTGTGTCTGCCCCAAGGAATAGCGAGTCTGCTTTGAGCTGCCTCTCCAAGCAGCAGAAGAAGAAAAAGAAGCCAAAGGAGCCGCAGCCAGAACAGCCACAACCAAGTACAAGTGCAAATTAATTGTGCTGGTCAAGTGTGTCGGTGACTGCACATTGGTCTCTGTTCTCTGGCTATTTGCAAAACCTCTCCTACTCTTGTGTTTCACTCCACCATCAACCCCAGGTAAAAAAAGTCTCCCTCTCTTCCACTCACACCCATAGCGGGAGAGACCTTTTGCAGATTTACCTTGTTTTGGAGTAAGAATTCTATGCAGCAGCTTAACTTTTCTGTATTGCCGTGTTTATAGGCTTCTTGTGTGTTCAACTTGATTTCGTAAATTAAAAACAATGGTCAGAGCCAGTGTGTCATCCTAATTTTTTTTTTTTTTTTTTTTTTTTAAGCTAGAAGATGGGGGTGGTGGTATAGTTTATTTCATTATTAACTTAGTGATTCTTCTGGGCCAGCACAGTGCTAAGACCTTGAAGGAACAGGAATAGTGTCAGGCCTCTGGCTGCAGGCCAAGGTTGGACAGTGTGAATGGAGCAAGAGGCTGGAGTTGAGGCCTCTGTAGTACATCCTGCCAGGTCCTTGGTGTATGTTCCTGCTTTAACCCGAGCAACACCTAATGGCTGCTTATCTTTTTCCCACTCTGTCCTGGCTATTATCTGAGCCTCCCTGGGAGGTGGGCAGGAATGAGGTTGCTGTCTTCAGGCTTCCCTCACATCACAGAACTAACAGTAATAGTCACTGGTTCTGGCGTGTGAGGCCCTCAGGATCTGGCCCCAGCCTTGTCTCCACTCCTCTCCTCTGTGACAGAGCAGTCTCCTGCCCACTGATCCGTGTTTCCCTTCTCTTGTCCTGAGCCTTGTACAAAATAGGCTTTTCCCTCGGTCTGCATTGCCTTTTGGCCTTCTCCGTCCTATGTATCTTCCAGTCCCGAGCCTCTAAGGGTTAGCAGTGCTTCTCCTGGGGCTCCCTTAGTGTCCTGTGCTTACCCTCTTCATAGCATTTGCCATGCTGTGTTCCCTTAGCTGCGCTCCTTAGGAGAAGAGGACCTCAAGGCTTGGGTCAGCCCGGTGTAAATGTGTATTGAGGGAACTAGGGACCTCCTGATGCTGCCCCAGCTTTCTCTGGATCAGTGTAGGTGAGTATCCACAACTCCCACAACCATGGGAGCAGCACAGATTTCTGCACAGCTGTCTGCCTTCCAAACAGGTATTCATTGGGGCACAATACAGTACAGCTGTTTAGTTCAAGAGATTCTAGGGAATTGAAGAGGATATATAAGTAGACCAAGATACCCCAAGATTTAAGAGCCAGCCTCTCAGCATCATGGTTGGCACTTTCATCTACTTGAATTAGCATTTAGTATTGAAGGTCCTGAGAAATATATATATATTTTGAGACAGGGTCTTGCTCTGTTGCCCAGGTTGAAGTGCAGTGGCACAATTACAGCTCACTGCAACCTCACACTCCTGGGCCCAAGCAATCCTCCTGCCTCAGCCTCTGAAGTAGCTGGCACTACAGGCACACACCACCACACCTGGCTGATTTTTATTTATTACTACTATTGTGTAAAGATGAGATCTCACTAAGTTGCCTAGGCTGGTCTCAAACTCCTGCCCTCAAGTGATCCTCCTGCCTCTGCCTCCCAAAGTGCTGAGATTACAGGTGTGAGCCACAATGCCCAGCTCCAAGTCTTAATAGTCTTTTTTTTGTACTAAGCATATAGACACCCAGTGATTGAGACTTGCCCAGGGCCACACAGCAGCCAAGTGGCACAGGCAGGATTAGTGTTTTCTTTCTGGGCTCAGGACAAGTTCAGAAAACTACTTCAGTCTTAACAGTGTTGTCAAGGAATGGCCTCCCATCCCCCAGTGTCACCAGTTACCTGGATAGGAGGGGAAAGTGCCCCTGTCTGTGAGGTCAGCTCCTGACTAACAGCTGTCAGAAGATGCCAGGGAGACTCCAAAATGATGCAGTGGAGGTCAGTGGGTTAATAAGCAGGCTCAAGATCCCTAACAGCACCTAAGCCGTGGGAGTGAAGCCACTTGTCACAGGCCAGACATAGATCCCCTGATAACTGTCAATGTCCTGCCCTGGCCGCCTAACAGCAAATTATTTTCCTTTTTTTGGCAGAGGAGCTAAGTAGACAGGCTTTAAAAGATAGGGGCAGCCTTCCAGGCAGTGCTGCTCTCACCTAGTGAGGTGAAGTCAATGGGTAAAGCTTCTTGAGTATCCTGGATCTACGATTAAACAAGGAAGATTCTTCCCCAGCTAATTCACTCAATACATGAGCACCACGGAAAAGCAGAGTTCTTGGCTGCATGCCAGGTACCCAGTATTAAGGAGACAGGACAAAAGCAGTTATAGAAACCATTTTAATACTAAGAGAATGTTTTTGCCAACTGCCCAGGGAAGCTGTAGGGCTTGCCCCACATCCTGCAGGGCCTAGGGCCCCTGGAAGCCACTCATTGTCACTGAGTATCTGCTTAGGGTGGCGATGTGTTTGGCTCCTAGACTCTGTCTAATGGTTCCCCTGACCCTCCTGCTTGGGAAGCCACAGTCACTGCCAAGGTGGCATGCTTCCCCATCTGCAGTGCCCTGTGCTTCCTGTCAGGAAGGACAGGTTGGGAGCATCCCTTTGTGGAGCCCATAGAATGAGAGTGTCAGGTGTTACAGATGTTTTCACACAAGGAATTTCATTCCATTTTAACTAATAATCCAGTGATACATAGGTATTGTTGCCATTTCACAAACTTTGGAATTGGGGCTCTGGGAGGTGAAGTGACTTGGCCAAGATCACACAGCTAGTAAGTGGCAATGCTGAGGTTTGAACCCTGGCTCCAGAGCTCTCATTTGTGCTTAAAATAGGAACCTAGTTGGCCAGGCACGGTAGCTCATGTCTGTAATCCCAGCACTTTGGGAGGCCAAGGTGGGCAGATCACAAGGTCAGGAGATTGATACCATCCTGGCTAACATGGTGAAACCCCTTCTCTACTAAAAATACAAAAAATTAGCCAGACATGGTAGCACTCGTCTGTAGTCCCAGCTACTCAGGAGGCTGAGGCAGGAGAATTGCTTGAACCCAGGAAGCAGAAGTTGCAGTGAGCCAAGATTGTGCCACTGCACTCCAGCCTGGTGATAGAGCAACACTCCATCTAAAAAATAAATAAATAAATAATAGGAACCCAGGCAAAAGCAGGGACTGTGCTCTTTCTGTTGCTAATTGTTCCCATTGATTTATAAAGTTTCCTTTGGAGACAAAGTATCATTATAAATATGCAGTTGTAAAAACAAGCTGTCAAAGCAACTCTCTCCTTCCAGCTTTTGGTCTGGAAAGAGATGGCTCAGTGGGGTGATGGGGGAGAATTATCCAGGAAGTGTGACTGCCAGGGTGACTGGCTGCTGTGGACAAGCAAAGTAATGTCACAGATGACTAGATTTTAACAAGGTGCCAAAGCCTGCCACGTCTTTTCATCCATTGTGGTTTCCCTTCAAGACAAAGATCTGAGAGGGAACGAAGGGGGAACAAGGGCAATGGTTCAGATTTGGCCGATGGATTTTAACTTGGCCTGCCTCTGCCAGAGCTTGAGTGTCCTGATTCTGAAGTGACAGAATAGATTCCGTCCTGGGAAGAAGGCCTCTGTGAGCTTCTGGGGGGCTCTGTGATCCAGAAGCACAGCACAGGCAGATCTCACAGAGGGAATTTCTTTAGCCAGTCTGTCAAACAGCTCTGCTTCTGAGGCCACCACCCAAGCCACAAAGATATAGCAGCCAGTGAGAGCTTCTGCTGTGCTTGAGAGCCTGGCTGGAAGGCCCAGAGCCCACCTTACAGCCCCTCAGAACAGCCAAGGCACCATCCAGGCCCTGTGCATGTCCGTTCACACCTTTCAGTTGGGAAACAGGGATCCCTGGAGACTTGTCTGGCAAAGATGATGCTATTCACAAATCATGTCATGTGTTCACCCCACGCTTCCAATGTACTTGTCATAGACCATGGTGAGACACTGAGCAAATTCAGAGGTGACAGTCAAGTTTACATTCCTGTGACAAAGTGACAATGACTTAGCCAGAGCCTTTGGATCTAAACTCCAGCTGATGGTAGTATGGGAACCAGGGGCCCTGCTTGGAACTAAAGTCTCCTGACATCGGCTTTTCATGAAGGCAGAAGAGTAACACAAATCTGACATTTGTGTCAAAAGGACTCTGAGGAGTCTGCTACCCAGCCCTTGTGCAGTCGGGTTGTCCGCAGACTCAGCAGCACCAATAGATTCCAATAAATCCCTGCAGAATGAAACCTGTGAGAAGGTGGCCTTTGATTAAGGAAGGACCCCAGAGGGCAATTCCATACCCTGCATTTTCCGTTTCCTCCTACAGAGGAAGAGAGGTTGCTGGCAGCACCTCCACCCAGCCAGGGTGTGGGTCCCCACTGGTGCCGTCTTGCCTGCCAACCCACGGACAGAATCTTGAAGGTCCTGAGGCAGCAAGGTGAGGGGCTTAAGGGGCATGGCCAGGTGGCCAAATGAGGAAGCTGCTGGCCAGAATGCCCAGACAGTTTCCACAGTGGAAATCTTCCACACTGCCAACTTATATGGCTTGTCTGTTCTTTCCCACCTACCCTCTCACCAGCCCATAAAATGAGCAGAAGTGAGAAAGAAAGAAGCCAAGGGCAGACTGCAAAGCATCTGCTCTGCTCAGTTGGGTCCATGGCTGTGCGTGCTGACGTCTCTAGCCATGAAGTATCCAGACTCCTAGGATTTGCTGGGGATGATGGGATAGCTGCAGCTTTCTGCAGACAAAAAATACACAGATTCTGGTCCAGACCCTAGTCTTGTAAGCCTCTGTCCAGGTGGGGCTGACAGCAGAACCCTGAAGGGCTCGTCCACCAGAAGTCAGGCAGTTCTGGCCCTGAGAGAAGTAGAGGGGCCCCAATAATTTGAGCTCCTGCTGAAGGCTAAAGACCCCTTTCTGGACTTTGGCAAAAAAAGAAGGTCTTTTTTTCTCCTTAAGTTAGGGATAGGAAAACACATCCATCATGAAAGTTTGAAGCCAATCACAGCCCTCACATTCAAGTTGACCTCATTAGGCCATGTGCCAGAGCCAACAAATGACTGGACTGGACTCTGCAGACCTGGTAAGTCACTTGGGTTAAGACAGCTAACCTTGAGCTTTTCCTCCGCTGCAGAGAGGCACTGCCCCTGGTAAAGAGAAACCAGAGACCCCGTTTTTCTACAATGGAAGGTCTACCAGTTGAAGGAACCTCTTCCAGTTGAAGAACGAGTCCAGAGAGGGCAGGTGACTCACCCAGGCCTCACAGGGAACTGGGGTGCATAGCCAAGGGCCCAGTTAGAAAGCATTTGATCCTCCATCAAAATAAATACTAAAAATGCCACCAAGTTACCACAGTCCATAATGGGTAGGCCTCATTCACAAGGGTTTTGCCCAAAAGGCTGCACATCGTCTTGTTACAGTCTAAATCGCTTAAAAAATTGAAAAGTCAGAATGTTCCATTCAGAATGCAGTCCCATTAGGTGACAGGTTCCACTGCATGGCCTAAAATTAATCAGTGTGTATCAGCTGTGTAAAGGATGTTGTAGTGGGATGTTTTATAGAGCAGGTAAACTGAAGGGGTGGCGCCCTCAGGGAACACGTGGTGGTTCAGGGCGGTATCCATCTCGTCCACGTACTCCACCTGCAGGGCGATGCTCAGGGCCTGGGACAGCGCGGTGATCTGGATGTGGTCACACTCCGTGGCCATGGGCTCCACTTCCTGCAGGGGCCAAAATGAAAACAAGCCAGCTTAGGAGGGAGGCCTGGCAGAGGAGAAGTGCGTTCAACTCTGGCTCTCAGGGTCATGGTCACAGCCTCTGCTGGGACGTCACCTTCAAAACATCCCATGAGTTGGGTATGGATAGTCTCATGTCACACAGGAAACAACTTCACTGAGAGGCAGGATAGCTAGAAATTGCCACAATTGCAAGAAGCAAACCTAGATCTTTTCAATTCTAGACCTTGTAGTTATACCTGAGAGCAGGCCACTACTTTAGAGGGATCTGGAAAGGTGGGGCAGAAATTTTTCAGGTTGGGCATCAAATAATCTTAGAAATAAAAGGCACCCTGTCATAGAGGGATGACTTTAAAGCTTAAGTGTTTACAGAGGCCAGGCTGGTGAGTGAGTGAGCAAGTCCAGGTGCTGCAGAGACGATGGAGGAGGCAGGCAAGCAGGGTATGTCGCTTGGTGCCTGCTGACACTGCCCTGCAAGAGCAAGGACCTGGGGGCTAGTTCGTCTGATTTTCCAACAGAAATCCAAACCTTCATATGAAAACTGCCCAATTTTAAAATATCATGCATCATAAACACGTCTAGCAAATGCGACTCTTAGACTGTGACTGGGGTTTTGTAAACAGGCCAATCCAAATCTCTTATTTTTCAGATGGGAAATCTCTAGGGAGGGGAAGTGCCAGATCCCCTGGCTAGGGATGGGGTGCTGAAGTCTGCAGGAGAGGGCCAGGAGCAGAGCCCAGGGTTAGGGCTGAGACCCCAAGCACCTACATGAGTGCAGAAGTCTTTGATGTCCATCTCCTCATCAATGAAGTGCCGGAAGAAATCTGCTCGGTTCTTGATGAAGGCTGACGTGAGCAGGCGCAGGAATTGCACAATGTGGTCCGAGGTGCTCTGGTCGTTGAACACCTTCAGCAGGCTGGACACCGAGCTGTCCTTCTCTACCAGTTCCACCACGCTGTAAAACTACGTCCACCCAGCCCTCAGCCAGGGAGGCCCAAGCAAGCCGTGGCCCTCCATCTGCGCTCTCCCTATGTGTCCTCCCTCCCGGCAAAGCACTCATGAGCACTTTGATTTGTAGATTCTCAGGTTGAGGTCGAAAATCAGTCTGAGATTCTGCCTAAGCTAAGTAACTCAGGGTTAGCCAGACTTGGTAGTTTGTACACCAGCCCAGAGGCACGTCTAGGGAGCAGCAGTTGGGTCTCCCCCCATCACTACCTGGGTTTGGATTCTCAGGTGCACACTGGGCAAGGATCTGAGAGTCCTCAATCCCCGCCCCTTCACTAATTGGATCGGGAGGCACGGGGTGGAGATGGAACAGGGTGAAGGACGTGCCTTCTCCCAGAGGGAGGGCAGGGCCTTGGGCTCCCTGTGCCCACACCCCCCCCCAAGCAGGAAGCAGCCCTCTGTCCTTCCCCAGCCAGGAGGAGCAGAGCTGTGGGTTGTTCGGGGGCTCCAGCCAGTGCCCGTTCCTGCCTGCTCTGCCACACATGGAAGGAGGGACCAGGTGAACTCACAGCATTAAAGAAATTTCTGAACTTGTGCTCCTCAAAGCCAGCAGCCAGAAGGTCATTTGGAGTCTGCAGTACACGTTCTTTGAACCTGCAGGGGGTTAGACTGGGTGCTTACAGGGAAACAGCAAGTATGCTGTGATTGGCAACTGTGCGCCCCCCTCTCAACCCACTGCACCCACCAACCTCAGCTCTCAATCGCAGAACTTCCCGCCCCACCCCCAACACACAAGCCATGCCCCGTGAACATCACCCCAGCACTGCCAGGCCCCAGTGACTGAGGTGCGTTGTGTGTGCATGGTAGAAAGACAATATGGACTAGGGCACGTGGGTTTCTGCATCTTCTCCAACTTCCTACTCAGTGACCTCATGAGGGCAGCTTGACTCAGTCATGACAGTATTGAATACTGACACCACAGCAATCACATACCAGGCCTCCCGAACGCCCAGAGCTGGCTGTCAAGCATCTGCCAGCACCGACTCCCCCTTGGGGATCTGCTCCACAGGCCCTTGCTCTGTGCATGCTGGGTGGTTCCTCTCTGCACCCACTGCAGGCCCCCTGCCATGGCACAGCCCCTTTCTGGGACCTGTCCTGGTGCCCTCGGGGGGCATGACAAGAAACCCAGGCCTGGCCCTGGCTTCAGGACACTACGAGTTTAGTGGCAGCAATGAGGTATGGAGGAAGGGCTGCCTCCCACAAAGACCAGGTGAGTGGCCCTGGGTGACCGGCTGGCAGGCGCAGAACACTAAGGCCACCCTTAGTTCTCCAGCCGTGCGCCCATTCCCTGGGCAAGGGGACCAGGCTCTGACAGGACCCAGGAGGCAGAAGGTTTCACAAGGGAATACAGAGGCCTGGGCCACCTCAGAAGCTGCTGTGCTCCTGGAAGGCCTGGTGCCTTGTAGGAGGACGGGGGAGGTGAGCAGGGAGAAGGTAGTGTGTGTGGACAGGAAGCAGGTCTCCTAATTCAGGAGTGTTTTTGCCTAGAGGCCGCCTGCCCCTGGCTGGTCCTGGCATATCTGAATCCTGCCTGGGCCAAGACTAAATTGTCCTATTTCAGGCTGAGGTGCCTGAACTGGAGGGAAGGAGCCTGTGCTGGCTTCTAGCGGCAGTCCCCTCCAGACCTGTCAAGTCCCCCTGTGGCTTCTGGCCACAGGCTCCCCTTTGGAGCAAATGTGGATAGCGATGACACCTCGATTGTGGGGGTGCCGAGGGTGAGCAGAGGGCTGCCCAAGAGGACGAGGCCTCCACTGTGGCAGGACCTGCCTAGGTTTCCCCTCTGGGCCAGGACAAGGATCTGAAGGTCGGTGCTGGCTGACGCCTCTCGCTCAGGAGCCACCCTCATCACCACCCCCTGTTCTGTCTTCAGCAGCAGCAGCCTAGGTGGCCCATAGCCAGAACACTGGAAGCAGCTCCAGGAAGCAGCCAGCTGCAGTCCACCAGGGTCGCTCCAAGGGCCTGCGCCCTCTTCTGGTCACTCTGTCCCTGCATGGCCATGAAGTGCACTGCTCTGCTCCCAGCTCTCCTGTCCCTACTCCCACCCCTGAACCTCTGCCTCATTCCACATTCATTCCTTAACAGTGACTTGCGGGCCCCTCTGTGCCAGGCACTGGGGATGCAGAGAGAAGCAGTGTGTGGGCCCTGTCAGAAGCGGGCAAGCCCCCAGACCAGGACACACACCCCGGGGAGGCAAGGCAGGGATGAGGGGAAGGACGGCACTGGGGCTCAGAGGGCAAGTTCAGACAGGCCAGGGCTACACACAAGCCTATGTGGGACCTCTGCCAAGTCATTTGACCTCTACGAGGCTCCTTTGGCTCATCTGTAAGACTGGCTAATCACAGTGGCTCCCCTCTAAGGAAGAGCGTGTTCTCCAAGCCTCTGGCACACAGAAGTACTTTGCATACTTCTGGAGCAAGGATGCGAGCTCCAGGGCTGGGGCAAGCAAGCATACTGCTGCATCACACTTGCCCCAGCCCTGCAGCAGCACTGAGCAGAGAACGGGAGTCTGCCTGGGTGGCTCTGGGCTCACTGCACACACATAGACGGCGGGTTGCGGAGGATGCATGACGCCGACAGTAAGAGCGAGCCCAGAACATGTCGGTCAGTGTTGCAAGTACTCACGAGTCAATCACTTAATGCCCAGGACAGGGCTATGACCACCACTCAACCAGGGAAAGGAGCTACAGAGGAGTGAAGCGACCTGCCTGGGGCCAAGGAATCCACAGCCGGGTCAGAAGCAGGGCTGCCTGGGCCCAGAGCAGCGTCAGGCAGCATGTCAGGCATCCGGTCAGGCATCCGCAAGCTCTAGTGTGTAGGATAAGTGGGTTCCTGTGCCTGGAACTCAGGGTGGGCAGGCAATGGGGCAGGAGGGGCAGGGGCCTGGTGTGGAGGGCTTTGATGTCAGGGCTTCCACTGCTCTTAGAGGCAGGGGCATAGTTCAAGCCTGGGAGTGACATGGTCTTGGTTTTTGTATAAGAAGATGCAGGCTGGGGAGGGAGTACCACCTGGGCCCAAGAGTTCGAGGCCAGCCTAGGCAACATAGCAAGATCCATCTCTTAAGAAAAAAGAAAGAGAGAAAGAAAATGTTTTTAAAAACATTGTAAAAGTGCCGATGGTCTCACAGAGCCTTGAGGTTTGACTTATCACCTGTGTGCCCCGGCCTGCCCACTGAGCACCAGCCTCGGACATCCACTGCCCACCAGACACCCCCACTCCATGGCTCCCAGACATTTCAGACTTAGCATCGCCAAAACAGAGCTCCTGATCCTCCTCTGCCCTCCCTTGCAGCAAACAACTTCTCGATCCTGCTAACTCTCCGGCCAAACTCCTGGGAGTCATCCTTGACTCTGCCATGTCCAATATGCAAGTCAGGCACAAATCCTGTCTTCGCCACCTCCACGGGTATCTAGACCTGGCCACTTCTTGCTATGCCCGCTGCATCCACCTGCTCATGCCACAGCCATCTCTCCTCTGATCTCTCCCTGGCCACATCCCCCGGCTATGTCCCAGCCTCCGAGCAGCCAGCAGGGCCGGTCCCCCGCGCTGTACAATCCTTCGGTGGCTGCCATGTCCTTCAGGCTGAAAGCCAAGGTCCTTAGAAAGGCCTGAGGCCCTGTGTACCCTGCTGCCCTTACCTCTCCAACCTTACTTGAAGATGCCAACCCCAGACCTTGCACTCTCCGCCTCTTTCCTGCCTGATTTTTCCCATAATATTTATTGCCGTCTGACACCTCAAACATGATACTCAGGTACCGTCCATCTTCTCCCATTAGGACACAAGCCCCACGAGGCAGGGATTTTCACCTCTCTTGTTCACTGCATTATCCCCACAGCCTAGAGCAGGGTCCGAGCATGGCACCCTGTGTGTGCTGACTGGAGCGGGGAGACAGGATGGAGTAAAGGTGAACAGAGCACGTGGGCTGGAGCAGAGAGAGATGCAGGGGCCGGGCTTGGCCAGCATCACCCACTGAGTCCTCACAACAGCACCTTGAAGTGGGTTATCATGTTCACCTTCCACAGGCATGAAAACTGAGGGTCAGAGAGGTCAAGTCACTTGCCCAAGGTCACACAGCAAGTAAGCGAGAAAGTGAGGTCTGACCTCAGAGACCCAGGCTGCTGCATGGCACAACTCTAGGGGACACGGGTGATGGGGAAAATAAAGGTGGGGTCATAATCCCTGCACTGTGCTGTGTTGGTTCCCATAGGGCTGTGAGAAAGTTGGGGAGGGAAATGGCTTGAAATAGCTAACTCTCCATCAAAAGGGGCTCTGCCAGTCTGTCGCTGGGGAAACCTGAACCGTTCAGTCAAGGAGCAGATGGGTCAGCTTCTACCCTCCTTGAGATCATGTGTATTTTGAACAGGAAATTATGGCCTTAACCTAGTAGTTCTCAACCTCATAGGGTCGACTCTTTCCCCCGAAAGGAGCTTCTTGGCAGTGTCTGGAGATAGTCTGGACCGTCATGACTTGGGGAGGGCATTACTACTGGGATCTCGTGGGTGGGGGCCAAGCATGGCTACAAGGCATGGGACTGCCCCCACGATGAGCATGATCTGGCCCAAAATGTCAGTCGTGCTGCTGTTGAGAAACCTGCCTTAGCCAAAGAAGTGCTCTGTGACCCACAGCACCCTGTACTGTTTCCAGAGGGCATGTGGGTGCGGGTCTCAGACGAGGAGAGCCCGTGGCCCTCACCAAAGCCTCTAAGGGCTGTGAGACCCCCAAAGGTTAAGAGCCGGGTGGGTTCCTTAGCTCCTTGCTCCTGAGAGCGTGGCCTGAGGCCCAGCAGTATCAGTGTCCCCTGGGAGCCGCTGAGAAAAGCAGTCCCAGCTCTGCCCGCTCCCACTGAGCTGGAATTCAGGTCCTAGCCAAAGGACTCAGGCCTTGTTCATCTTTGTTTCTTTTTCTTGCTATAGACTAGAGAATCAGGGGCTTTGTCCAAGCATTCAGGTGTGAGAAGCCCTGAACTAGGCGAGAGGATAGGGGCCGCTCTGGACACAGACCTTGGCCAGCATGAACCTCAGGGCCACACCAGGCCAGCTGAATGCCTGGGTCACACACACACCAAACCAAGGTCAGCGGGAATTATGTAGAACACTGGGGCAAAGGTTCTTTTGTGTGTGTTCTCTTTTCTTTTCAGAGCGGGTCACAAAGTACCTACTCCCTGTAACTCACCTGGACTGACCCAGGCCAGTGGCTGAAACAGAAGGCTGGAAAGTGCCTGGAAGGTCACGGATTCCATCCTCTCTGCCCTTGGCCGCCCCCACCTCCACCGCAGCAGGCAGCTGGGCGCCCCCAACATCAAACGCCTTTGTCAGGCAGCCCTTCAGCTCACTCTCTGGGAACCTCCAAGAGACCTGGGGCCAACGCAGCACAGGGAACACAGCCTCAGAGCCCAGGAGGCCCCGGCACTCACTTGACGATCTCCCTGCTCTTCCCCAGCAGGGACTCCAGGTAGGAATAGCCCAGGGCCCTGTAGAAGCAGTTCCCATCCCCTTTGGTCTTGCGGATGGCGGTGAACCTTTTGCTGAGTTCCTGAGGGGACAGAAAGAAATGTGGGCATTTGCAGCAGCCACGGCTCTGTGTGGTTTGGGTGCTGGGACTGGCCACGTGCCCCATCTCTCCCAGGAAATGCCTGCTCCTGCCCTGCAGGCTGCTGTCCCATCAGCCTCCCACCCTCGTTCATCCCCCTGAAATAAAAATACACCACATTGTCCTGTGTGTCCGTCCCTCCCTCCAGGCAGCCAACAGCCCAGGCAAGAAGATGGATGATTAGACAGTGGCAATGTGAGGACAGAAGGAGTGCCCAGCTGGGTGCCATGGGGCACTGGCATTGCACTGGATTTTGAAAGTTGGAGAAGGCTTCCTAGGGGAGCAGCACTGAGGATTGGCAGCTGGCAGAAGTGGGGGTGGGGGTTGCATTGTGAGCGGGGGCAGGAAGGGTGGGCTCCAGCTCTGCCTCTAGCAATAAGTAGGGGTCCCGCTGAACTGGCCTGCAATACCCTTTTCTGCCTCATGGGACTATAAGCAGTGTTTCGACAGCAGAGGATGATTTTCAAGAGGTCTGGGAGTTCCTGTTTCCCCCCATAGCCATGAGAAGGCTCAGAGCTGACTTGGGCCCACCTGAGGGCATCTGGCAGCGGGCAGGCAGGCACTCTCTGGAGTCCCTGGCTCATCTTCCAGGAGGGGTCTGGGGTACATGAGAGTCGGCAGGCTGCAGAGCCCAGATCCTGCCCTGGAGGTGCCCCTGCAGCAGCGTCCCAACCACATGATGCCCACACCGCTACCCTTGGCTGTCGATGGACACCTGACCCAAGCTGGACCCATCAGAGTCTCTGAGGATAATTAATGGGGCCCAGCAATGGTGCCGCATGTCTGAGAAGAACTCGAAGGAAAGAGGCTGTGGAGCCAGTGCCGGAGCAAGCCTGTCCTACAGTGAGAGGAGGTCTGCAGAGTGCAGAGAGCAGCCAGGGCCTGATGCCAGCGAGATGGAGCAGGCACCCACCTCCTCCTGCCACCCAGGAGTCAGTGCTCCATGAGCCATCCCTACAGCCCGCCCACAAATCCCTTTAACCCCACTGGAGTGAACTTTCCCTCCAACAGGTCTTCCAGCACAGCAGTTATGAATGTGGCTTATGAGACTCGGCTGCCTGGGTTTAAATCCCAGCTTAGCCACTCATGAGCTACATGGCCACCACTTAATTTCTGTGCCTCAGTTTCCTCAGCTATAAAATGGGAGTCATGAAAGTACTTACCTCACAGAGTTGTAGTGAAGTCTCCGTGGATAAATAAAACATTAGGATAGCACTAAACTTTTAAATGAAAACTCCTTTTTTGCCAAGGCAAATGTCCAACATCAAAAGATCCTAGGAGTCCTTGCATTCACCCAGGAACCCAGCTCAAACTACTGGCCTTCAAAGAGGCATTGCCTTTACGCTCCCAACCCCAGCCTGTTTAGTTTAGGATGCTCTTCTCCCTGACCTCTGCCTCACCTGGATTTTCCTCCGGTAAATCCTGTTTTCAGGATGGTCCCGAAGAATGGATAGAATGTCACATTTTTCTGATATTAGGTTGAAAGATGTTTCACTCTAAAAGACAGGGAAGGAAGAAATGCTGTGACAATTTCAAAAGCAACCAATGGGACTCTGCAAGCTGGTGGCCTCTGAACTGCAGGTTACAGAAACTGAATGAGATCGTCCCACCTTCCCATGCTGGGAGCATGTTAGCAGCACCCTAGACGCCTGCTGGGATCACCACGTTTCCAGGACAGGGCTAGTTTCCAGCATAGGTTGGGGCCGTTGTGAAAAGGTAGCCCTGGTTATGAGGAAACTCATCTTGTTACTTGAAACCTGATTCATTTCACACAATGTGTACCTCAAACCTAATGAACCTTCATGCTGGAGGATAAGGCCCTTTGTCTCCCTTCGTCTGTCCTCTCGCATTCATGCATTCATTCATTCTTTTATCCATCCCACAGTTCCTGAACATCCATCCTGTGCCAAGCACTGTGTCACATGGTGGAAAAATGAAGGAAGAACACCTGGCTTCCCCCAGCTCCAAGGCTCACCATCTACAGGGAAAAACAATAAAGATAGGGGATGATAAGGTCACCAGAAGAGGCTGCAACTCTGTGGCACTGGTTCATGGAGACCCCAGGGAAGGTGTCAGCGATCTGAGTTCACGGAGCCTAGGGTGGGAGAGCATCTTCATGCACCACCTACCGGCAAAAGTTCATACTACAGCCCAGCTCTGGGTCTAAGGTTAATTTCAACCCAGAAAAGCAAGCCTCCTACAGGCAGGGTCTCTCCAGACCCAGGAAGAAATCAGAGGGCAGGGAGGAGGCAACTGCAGAAGGAAGCTTTAGCGTGAAGGAAACTTTAGGAGACACCTCGTTCTAGCAGCCGGCTCCCCGTGGGCCCTGTCTCCGCATTGTACTATCTTGTCAGCAGGGTTCAAACAGGCAGGAGATGCATCTCTGCCTCCAACCCGCCCAGAGCTGCTTTGATTGCAGCGTAAACATACTGTGAGAAAAATGGTGTTAAAGCCACTTTAGTTTGCAGCTTAAAAGAAGTGAGGCTGGCTCCTGCACACGACCCGGAGAGACCATTTTTATGCAATAGAGCGCTGCGGATGGTCACTGTTCATTGGGATTTTTGTAAATAGAAATCTAGTTTTCCATCCATTTATCACCATCATTTTTTACATTTAGTTGTAACTGGCCTTTTTCATGTCACACCTCTGGCCACAGTGGCCTTTCCTGGCAGCCTCTCAGCCTCATCACTGACCAGATAATGACCTCAACCCAATACCATCCTGCTCAGAGAGGAGCCCTCTGATACTACAAACCCCTTTCTCCACTTGGAGAAATCTCCGGGTTTTTGATGATTAGCTTTTTCCAAAACACAGCACACGGAAGCAGAAAGCTGGCCCATGAGATTAGACAACGAGGCTTAAATGACTTTTGTTGCCCCTGTCTCCACATGGGACAGACTGTGAACTTCCATCTGGCCCTGAGCCTGTGTCCAGTAACAGGTCAGGGGAGAAGCTGGGACTGGGCAGGGGTGTTTTTAGGGGGTCTAGATGACAGCTTGTCATACTGTCTGCCATCTTCCATTCACCCAGGTCCTGGCACAGAGAAGGGGATAAGCTACCTCCTCCAGGAAGCCTCCCAGCTCTCCCCACCTCATCTGAGTCAGGCTCAGGCTCTCCCTTGAATTTACACTTTATTCCTTTTCTCCCTTTCTGGTGGCACCAAACACAAGCTCCCCCAGGCAAGGGGATTCAGGGAAACTTCCCAGGAGAAAGCTTAAAAATAGAGGATGATTGTTTTAAAGAACAGGATGAAGAATGTTTCCTAAAGAGTAAACAGCATGCAAACACTTGGGGGGTGGGGAGAAGGGATTCTGGATTTTGCTTCTAGAAGCTTTCGTTCTCTACCTATCCTTTGCAAAATTAATCCTGCTCCAGGCTCCTTCCTTCCTTCTGCCCTGACATCATAGCACAGGCTGGCAAAGCAACAGGAAAACCATCAGGAAGAAACGAACAACCACAAGGGGCAGGTGCTGAGGGCTGTTGTCCTATCAGCCGGGGCCCGTTCCTCCCCGCGAATGGGATCCCACGACACGATAAAAATGCCTGGGAAAGTCACAACGATCCTGCCTCTTTCCCATTTCCCAGCCTCCCTTGCAGCTATGGACAGCCAGGTAGCTGGGGTTGGCCAGCTGGACCAAAAATCCACTGGGGATTTCTGGGGAAGCTTTTGGTTTTGGATAAAAGGAACAGAGATGGAGTGTTCTACCCTTTCCTGCCATTAATGCAGATGCAACGTCTCAGCAGCCATCCTGCAAGCATGAGGCTGAAAGTCAACACATGGAAGATGACTGGGTGATCTGCTGCTACCCTAAGCCCAAGGGGTTTGGAGTGATAACAGGTGCCGTTATTGTGCACATACTATGTTCCAGGCTTGGAGAGAGAGGCTGACATGTCCCCATCATCTCACAACCACCTCCTGAGATGGTATCATTATACCCATTCTACTGACAAGGTCAGGTGCCCTGTGCTAAGAAGTAATTTTAGGCAGATCTATCTGACTCTGAAGCCCATGGAAATTCTACCATGCCAAACTGCCAGGCAGGCAGGGCACAGAGTCCAGGAGCTCTGAAAGGACCAAGGCTGCTAAACACAAAGGAACATTCCACACAGGGCACCTAGGGCCTTCTTCCCAACAGGCCAGGTCCCGACCTCCTGCCCCTGAGGCCTCGCCCAGCAAAGTTCTTCATCCTACTCCTGATCTTGGGGGCTCAGTGTCCACAACAGTGTTTTCTACCCTGAGAGATGCTCATCACAGGTGGAACAAGAGACTATTCACAGGCAACGTCCAGACATGGCGGTAAAATACATCAGTGATATCCGAAAGGAAAATGACTTGCTTTTCTACCTCCTTCAAGCCTTCTGATTGCGCCAAGGAGAAAGCCTCTAGCATACCTTGAACTCCCTTCTACTTTGCTAGTCTCTCTTCTCAGGAGTGGGCAGGCCTCTGACTCGGAGCTTAACATCATTCCATTTTCATTTGTGTCTTTTCTTTTAACTTAAACCAAGCCAGATTTATTGACTTCAAAGGCAAATTTATAAAAAGTTAACATGCTTTGGTCTGTTCTAAATCATGAAAGATTGACATTACTAGCACCATAACAGTTGCTAGCTGTACAATTCATTTGGCACTCATACCGCATGCTAATACAGCAAATGTTCATAGGATCCATACGTTTCAGAACGAAAGCTCCACCTCTGCTGCCTGGCGTGGATGGTAAGAGGACAAACAACAGGTGCTCCCGCTCTGCTCCTCCCGTCCCCACTCACGCACGCTGACTTCACTGCAAAGTCCCATTATTTACCTAACACTGCGTTTATACTGTATAAAAGCCTTGTTGTTTTTACAGACTGCTGACTTCAAATGATGGCTTGGGTCTTTTTAAATCATGATCAAAAAGCAGAACAACTATATTTGATATGCTTTGCTTAGACGGCCCAAAACCAAAACCAAAATGGCGGAAGGAGGGCAAAATTAGCTGCGTTTACTCTGCAGTGTGGGAGGAGGCAATCAACGGAGGAGTGAGAGGATTTAAGGAATTAGTCTTCAACATGCAGAGATAAGTACTTCAATGCAGAAAACTGCCATCAGCAGTTAAAATGAGGAATATTTCAAGGTGGATTAGGAACGGGGGTGGCACCTATACCAGGAAAGCCGAGTTAGGTTTCCGTTTGCTCTATAAATATAAACTTTGCATTTTTGACAAATCTACTTAAGCTCTTTAAAAAGAGCCAAGTTAGGGCCAGGCGCGGTGGCTCATATCTGTAATCTCAGCACTTTGGGAGGCCGAGGCGGGCAGATCACCTGAGGTCAGGAGTTCCAGACCAGCCTGCCCAACATAGTGAAACCCCGTCACTACTAAAAATACAAAATTGAGCCAGGCGTGGTGGTGGGTGCCTGTAATCTCAGCTATTTGGGGACTGAGGCAGGAGAATCACTTGAACCCGAGAGGCAGGGGTTGCAGTGAGCCGTGACCAGGCCACTGCAGCCTGGGTGACAAAAGGAGGCTTCATCTCAAAAAAATAAAAATAAAAATAAACCACATAGCAGGTCAGAGCCCTCTCAGCTGTTAAGAGCTGAGTTCACACACCCTCAGGACACACTGTGGGCACCAGCCTCAGGAGGGTCTTTTTTCATTGTCCCCTTCATCCCTCATCCCTATTTCCATTCCTCCATCCCCCCACGCCTCTATAGGGATTCTCTACAGCATGTCTTTCTAGATGTATTTGTTTATTATTACGGTAAAACATACATAACCTAAAACTTATGATTTTAACCATTTTTAAGTACACAGTTCAGTGGCATTAAGTACCTTCATGCAACAGAGCAACGATCGCCACCGTCATCCCCAGAATTCTCATCTTCCCACTGAAACTCCCGTACCCACTTTTCTCATGCATGTCCTTATGATGAATCTCTACTCATTAAATACTCACTCCCCATCTGCTTGCCCCCAGTCTCTGGAGACCACCTTTCTACTTTTCTGGCCCTAATGAATGTGACTATTCTAGGTACCTCATATAAATGAAATATACCTGTCCTTTAAAAAATACAGACTTGTAAGTGTGCATGCCTTTGAAGTTGGTGTAATGTTGGTCTATAGATATTCCGGAGGTTTTCTTTTCCTTTACTCCACACTATGTAAAGCTGCCCCTGCTGACGAATGTCTTGCAGGTGGGCTACCTCCATCCGCCGGTGATAGAACTTTAGGCTAGCTCCAGCATCCCAGTGGTCCCAGGTGTGCTTACTGGGGAACCTGGAGGCAAGTGGATTCTCACTTTGGCCCTTCAAGTCCCCACATGGCATCTCTGGAATGACCCAAGTTGGTCCCCTGTCATGCCCCCCTAGCAGGGCCCTGGCCACACCACTGGCAAGACTAGAGCCTCAAGCTCCTGGGAGAACCCGAAGAACACCCTCAATTTACTAGCCCATAATCAGGCATGATGCTTGCCCTGGCTGACTCTCATTTGTTAGTTGCTTTATAAACCGTGACTGAAC